AGAATGACAATTATTGAAAAAAGAACACAGTCCATTTACTGTTTTATTTCGCTGCCCAAAAATACCGTTACCAAAGTCTGCAGTCGTTCGTTTTTTATTTTTGCTGGTTCATGTTGCAAAAATAAAGCAATCCACAGTTATTTCACTCGAAATAAGAACAAAATATTATTAAAATTATTCTTTATATCGTGCTAGTTGAGACATATTAAAGCATACATACTCATTTAATAAATAGACTAAAAGAAAAATTGATACTTGAATACATAAAACTTGTTTTTTTCCTATAGGAAGGCAATTTTTAATTTTAAAACGTTTCCACGCCGTCTTCCCATCATCCGATTGTCCCCAAATTTTTTTTAAACATTTTTACATAAAAAGGAAAAAAATAGCCCATTCTGTTAACTTAAAACACTATTTCAAAAATCTCCATATAACGTAGAACACCTCTAATGTTTATATAAATTATCTGGATGACAAAAYAAGTTAACTGTTTGTCTGTCCGTAGTTAAGATATCTTGCTGAAACTTAGTACATGTGTTCCATAACGCCCTAAGAGCGTTGGTGTCGTAGATGGGCGTAATCGGACGGTTACCACGTCTACAAACAGCCATTAAGAGAAAACCTATAAATCGATATAAATAACAGCAAATTAAAGTACAAAACTGCAATTTAGTACAATGGAGCGCTTAAGAGGGCAAGCTGTGGTTTCAAAATTTTCAAAAAGTAAACGTGGCTCTATTAAACCATTCAAGCTGTAGAACCCAAATTCGCAGAGGACAAATGATTTCGCCATCTCTTAAGATAAAGTGGAAATAGGTGGAATCGGATGATAACTCCTACTACTCATAATAGTTTCGTTTAAAGTAGCCATAAATAGCTAAATGCGTCAGAAAAATTTAATTTTATGTTCAAAGTAAAAAATTATCGCTGAAACTTCAAACAATCCCTTAAATTTAATTTAGAAGTTTTTCAGATTCTTTCAATAATGTGTGCATAAAAAAATAAGCACAATGTCTCACGAATATATGTATGGTCAGTAAATCATGAAAGTTTACATACACCTATCTCTACTGACTTTTTGTGGTAAAGAAGGCAGAGTTTGCTTAGGCATGATTTTTTTTTATTTAAAAGAATATACAAATTAGAAAAGAATCATACAATCGAATGCTTCAAAATTATGAAAGGTAAACAAAGTGAGTATAAAGTTTTGGACTTCGGGGAAATACTCAATATTGTTTACAATGAGTTTGTAAAAAAATTTTATTTCGCTGAGTCTACTACAATCTAATGTCGAAAATTTGTGAATTAGTCTTAAAATTAAGCCTGCTCTTACTTACTCCATACACTTGTGACCACGTGAAATATACCCCCATACTTTCTTTAGCATTTATTAATTTTAAGTAATAACGCGACTAAACTTCGTG